ACCTTGGGTTTTGTCCTTCCTCTGCCGACCCGTCGCTGTTTGTTCGCACTGGTTCCACTCCTTTCTTTATACTAGTGTACGTCGACGACTTGGTCTTTGCCACAGCAGACAGGGCAGCTCTAGCTCAGGTGAAGTCCGAACTGCAGAAGAGACACACGTGCACTGACCTAGGTGAACTGCAGCGCTACCTTGGCCTGCAGATCACCAGGGACAGAGCCGCTCGCACCATCACACTGACTCAGTCACACATGGTGCAGCAGGTCCTTCAGCGGTTCGACTTCCAGTTCTCCACCACACAGCCCACACCTCTTGCTGTTGACCACAGACTCACTGGCCCCTTTCCCGACGAGCCTTTTGAGTCCAGTGGTCCCTACGCAGAGCTGGTGGGCTGCCTCATGTACCTGATGACTTGTACTCGGCCGGACCTCGCCTTTCCCCTCAGCGTCCTCTCTCGCTTTGTTGTGACTGGGAGACACCGTCCTGTCCACTGGACAGCTGCTGTGAGGGTGGCGAAGTACCTGGCGACTACATCAGGCATGGGGCTTGTGCTTGGAGGGACTCAGCCAGTGGCGTTGACTAGTCACTGCGACTCTTCCTACGCTGACGACGTGGAGACTCAGCGCTCGACTCAGGGTTACTGCTTCAGTTTGGGTGCTGGTGCTGTGTCGTGGAGGTCTACACGGTCGTCGTCTGTGGCTACTTCCAGTGCAGAGGCAGAGATATACGCTGGTGCCATGGCGGCACAGGAGCTTCGCTGGTTGACCTTCTTGCTCGCCGACCTTGGTGAGCGGCCTCGCTCTGCACCGACCTTGTACGCTGACAACAAGGCCATGATCCTCCTGTGTCGAGAGCCTCGACTGGAGAGCAGAGTGAAGCATATTGACGTGAGGTACTTCCTTCTGCGAGAGCTACAGCGACGCGGCCAGGCACGCCTGGACTTTGTGGCCTCAGAGGCCAACACTGCAGACGTCTTCACCAAGGCCCTGGCGCTTGGTGACCACCACAGGTTCTGTGTGCAGTTGGGGCTTGTTGAGGTAGGCCCTCGGTTGCTGTAGACTTGCTGTTTGCTCTGCTTGTTGTGCTTTGCTATATATATCCTAGTGAACTCTTGAACTGGCCTTGTGGCCGCTTGCTTGTGCTCAAAATTTGTGTGGTGTCCTTGAGATCCACCCTGAGCTTGCTTTGCTTCTTGCATTGACTGGTCTTGTGACCGTTTGTTCACCCTGCTTGCTTTGATGCCCCTCACTTAGCCTATGGGGGTGTGTCAAATGTTATTATAGGTTCTTAGGCTACAGTGAGTAGCACTCTAGGGAGTACAACACTTTTAGGGTTGCTATTTGTATCCCTTGTTTCCCTAGTTCACACATTCCGTTGTTCGCTAACTTTGAGAGAAAAGTGGCCAGCTCAGGATCGTCTTACAATTTCCGCGCCAATCTCCTCCCCAACCTCGATTGGTTGAGGGTTGTGGCGAAATCGCGAACACAACCCCAACCTCACGAAATAAGTACCCCCCAACCGAACCATGCACGAAACTGGCGGGATTCGCCAGTTGTGTTTGAAACCTTCGCGCCCTCTTTTCTGGAAAAGGATTATTTCGTGAGCAAATCAGACTGCGTCCTAGGGTGTGCACCCGAAATACCCCCTGAAAATGCCATTTCGAATGTAGACCGCAGCTTTAAGGAGGCTGCACATGTAAAACCTCTCATTGTTACAGCGAATTCGTCTGAAGGGAGGAGAGATACGAGTCACCGAGATTCTTTGAATTACACATGGGTATACACGGGTGAAATGATTGCTTCCCGAACAACCTCTCCCACCCAAACGGGTGGGTTTGTTGCATCTGCCAAAACTGGACCTAGTCGTTTGAACGCTTCAAACAGACGAGAGTAATGTTTGTTTGTTTGTTATGCATACATGCATGTTCCAAAGCAGGCGCATTGGTTGAAAAAATGTCACTGCTACTCTACAGTAGTACACTGTTCTGAACAGTGTAGTATGATCGACTCTCGAAATTTTAGGACAATTTGATGGTTCGCCATTGGACACAGCTGTCTTAGTGATCATCCAATCATCCGGCTTGCAGTCTCGCGTAGCTTCAGGAGATATCTCAAGAAGATATTCATGTCCTTGGCTTTTAGCTCATCTTCACCGTCAGATGCGTATTCCGCACGAACAGAAATGCTCTCCACCGGACCCGTCATCAGAAATTCCAGCCAATGACTCATCAAATCAGCTTTCTGACGCCGGCAGGGTCAGCTTTCCGCCCAAATGCCGTCCGCTGACACCCGCGGTTTCCCGCTTTTCGCCATGACCCGGGATCAACTGTGCGCACTTTCTCTTTCCGCCATGGGAGCGTGGGCCCACTTTCGCTTGCCAATCTGCTCCGCCAACCAGCCTTTTTCCGAAGATGGGGGGAAACAGCTGGGCAGATTGCTTGTGAAGGGCGGGGATTTGGGGAATGGAATGGAATGGGCTGGGTAGGGGGCCTGGGAAGCGATGGGGGGGATATGATGCGACCAGCGGAAATAGGGTGCTTGCTGGCAAATTCTTTAGTGGAGGTGCGCATGGGAGTCAAGAGGCGAAATGACAAGAATCGGCGGATATCGCGTTTCGCTCAATTGCATCGACCTAAATTACTCCGACCTGGCCACGTGGGCGTTTCCCTTTAATTGGATGGACCGCGTTTGCGCACGCCCTTTCTGCTCGATTTTCCCGCCCTTCCCTACCGAAATTCGGGCACCCGCTGGAGTTTCTTGAAATCACAAACAGTCACAATTCGTTGTTTGTTTCGTAACGCTAAGATTTAGACACGCGAGCGACATCTCATTGAACAGAACACTGATAATACATTTCGCCAGCCGAAGTGACATGCAAGCACTGCGTTTTGATTCTTCAATGGTGAATGACGTGCACGTTCGGTTGTGCCAGGAGCCTTTGGGGAACGCACAGTTAAATTTCAAGTTGTGCCTTTACTTAATTTCTCTATTTAATATAAACCATACTCTGACGTTAATGATTGGTTTAGACAATGGTATATTCTGAATAAAAGTAGAGTATAGTTTATAAGAAATTTATTACTTAGAATTCGTTTTCATATAGACCATACTTTTTTCACAATCTTGGTAATCGGAGGGTATTCTATTCTAAAGAATAGAAATCGGTATATGTGTGAATTTTTAAATAAATTAATATAACAAGTTTAGATATTTCAGGGAATAAGCTTTGTTTAAAGATATTAAAACCAGCAGAAACTATAGTTACTCTAGCGCGCAGGAGCAATTTACAAATGTTTCGACCAATCAGTAGTTCCTCACGTGGCGAAAATGTGGAGGTTCCCTATAAGGTTGAAACTGCGACTGTTTGCGATAGATCTGAACTTCAGCACAGCTGCTCGAATTTGTAGGGGAAGGGCGGGAAAATCGGGTTTGGGGGGCGCGCGCAAACGCGGTCCATCCAATTTAGAGAAACGCCCACGTGGCAAGGTCGGAGTAATTTGGGTCGATTTAATTCAGAGAAACGCGATTTCCGCCGATGCGTGCGATCTCGCCGAGTCAAGAGCTCCCCCTTTCCCCCCTTCCAAAAACTCCCTCTTCCCCTTCCCCAGCCCTCCCCCCCTCGACGAATCACCATTCCCTTACCATTTGGATTTTGCCCACTACGCAATCTGATGCCCGCGCGGTCAAAAATTCCCCCGTCCTTTGTGACGTTGCTAACCAATCCTGGCGAGTCGCGAGCGCGACGTCGTCGAGCACTTTCCGCATTTTCCGCCTTTTCCGCACATTCAGCAGCCCTTTCTATCCCACCCCCTTCCCGATTTCCCCCAGCGGAGGTCTTCTAAAGTCCGACAAGGACCAGCGCAGCGCGCCGATACCTATGTGCCCCATTTTCAGCAGAGCTGCAGAATTCGTCCCCGGAGTGACCTTCCCCTCCCCAGACATGAGGAGAGTCACCCCTCACCTCCCACCCACCTCTCCTCCGCTCGAGATATTTGTCGCGGAAAAACAACGCGAGCAAACACCCACGCACGACTGGTCTCACTTTCTCACGCCATACGAAACCTGGCTAGACCAGAATTTCTAGTTACTGTGACGCTGCCAGCCACCGCGTTTCCTTCCCACGTCGAGAAACGTTGATAAAAGGCTTCGTTGGCGTATTGTCGAGCTCACTCTTTCGAGACGCAAGTTCCTTCCAGAGCCGCAAGCTCCCCAGCTAATCATCCTCGCTCGGGCTTTACTACTTTCTTCCAGACCTTCAAGATAGAGAGCCTCGAAGCTATTCAAGTGCTTCACCAGACGCGGGTACATTCGCGCGACGAAACCAATAACAATCTCCCTCGGCGATTTTCGCTAACGTTGTTACAGAATGGATGCGATTTCCAGCGATGCGTGCTCGATGAAGACGAGGGTCAAATCTCGGCCCGGCAGACATTACATCGCGCGATGGACGCCCGAGGTAGGATTTTTGTGAGATTCCCGATCACATGCTCGAGCACCGCACCTGCATCTACCCAAAGCCTTGCATTCTAATCCGCATAGCGCTACATTCCATTTGACCTCACAGTATAACCTCATCCGTCTCATCTTGTCTCGTCGTATCCGTCTTGTCTCCTCTTATCCCGTCGTATCTCGTCTCGGCTCGGCTCGGCGCGCAGGAGGACGCGATTCTACTGGAGCACGTGATGCTACACGGCACCAGCCAGTGGGGGCTGCTGCAGCGCAGCAACCGCCTGCCTCTGCGCGACAACAAGGCGTGCTGCAACCGCTTCATCCTCCTCAAAAAGTGCGTCTCGGACCGCGTTAACCTTGCAGCTTCAACTTTCCATCTGCATTATTCAAGCAGAGAGAGTCAAGGAAAAGCTATAAATGTTTGTGTCGAATTTCCTGTGGGTTGTGGATTCTTCTCTAATCGACTCTCCCACCCCGCCGCCGTCTCCGCTCCTTGTTCGCAGGAAGTTTATCGAGCAAGACGGTTCACCCTCAGCGGCCGGCGGTGTGTTCCCTATGGGTCCCGATCCCGTCAGCTCGTCACCTCCTGGCGGCACGCTTTCGTTTCCGCCACTGGCGCTGCCGCCGCCGGTCGGCGAGCCGCACCATTGGAGCGCCACGGCAGCTTCCGCGCTGCATTCCGTTCCGAGTTACCACTCGCTTGGGAGTGGTAACCAGCAGCACTCGCCTGGGAGCAATAACCATCCGTCGCGCGGGAGCTATCAGCACTCCATTCAAAATTCCGTAATCACGGGGATGGGCAGCACAGCGGGCCCCTCCACTCCCCGCCACCATCAGCACCACCACCAGCACCTCTCGGCCCGCGGGCTTGTGCCCTCTTCGACCACCTTGCCGCACTCCCCCTCCGTGAATTCAATGGAGGCTTTCTCCTTCATCGCGCCGCATCTTCCTTTCACCTCGTCGCAGCTTCAGCAGCAGCATCAGCATCATTATCAGCAGCATCCCTCGTCTGTCCCTGGTGACGTGTCCATCCCCGGCAAGTCTGTCCCCTCGCCCGTCCCCTCGCACGCCGCCGTGCACGTCCCCGCGTCCGCGCCGTCGCCGCATCGCCCGCTGCCTCTCGACGTAATGCCGTCCCGGAAGTCGTCGCCGCGACTCGTCGTCGAACTGACCGGCGATTGGGGTTTTACCACCGCCGACGCCGCCACATCTCCCGCCGCCGCTGCTTCCGCCGCCGCCGCCTGCTCGGACAATTCGACGAGTCTCGCCGCGAACCCGTCGCGCGCGTCGCTCGCGCCCCATCACGCCGCATTCGCCGCTTCCGCGTTTCCGCGCACGCAGCAGCCAGCACGTCCCTCTACCGCCCTGTCTCCCTGCGCAGCTCCGCGGACCCCGCGGGGCCCCCAGACAGTGACGGTGGCTGGCCCGCCTGGTGCGGGTACTCCCTATGCTGCTCCGCCCGCTGCTTCTTCCCCCAGTGCTGCTCCGCCTTGCACTCCGACTCTCCGCGGGGTTCAGCAGCGTCCCAGCGCCTCTAAGGCTCCTCCTCCTGCTGCTTCTTCCCCCCCCGCGACTGGCGCTCGGGCAGTCGCCTCTCCGACCATTTCCACCCCCGGGACCAACCGCGCCGATCCCGCAGGCGCGTCCGCCTACGGCGCTTCATCTGCCGCCGCCGCCGCCACCGCTGCTGCTGTTGCTTATGCTTCCGAAGTGAGGGGCGAGGATGGTCGTGCATGGAAGAGGGCAAGGGTGATGGGGACGTGCAAGGAGGAGGAGGCGTGGGAGGCATGGGAGGAGACTGTGATGAGACCCTGCAGCGACGGCACCGAGATGTCGGATGAAACACCGCCAATGCAGCAGCAGCAGCAGCAGCAGCAGCAGCAGCAGCAGCAGCAGCAGCAGCAGCAGCAGCAGCAGCAGCAGCAGCAGCAGCAGCAGCAGCAGCAGCAGCAGCAGCAGCAGCAGCAGCAGCAGCAACAGCAGCAGCGGATCCCCCTGAACCATGCAGGCAACACCGTTCCATCATCGCTCACATTGAATGCTTCTTCTGCAGCGATCCCCTCAACCACCTCCCCTGCTTCGCCTGCCGCCCGGCTTGCCGACGCGTTGTGCGTTTCCGTCAATGCTGAGTGCGATCTCTCTGCTCGTGACGCTGCTTTTGCCGGTCGAAACTGCGCCGACTGGCCCGTCCAGAGGGCAGGTGCCGCTTATGAGTGTCAAGAAGCACACTCGTCGATCGCTGATACAGCAAATGTTGCTTACACTACTGCTGCTGCTGCTGGTGCTGGTGCTGGGCTATACAATGCTGGTTCGGTGCTTGTGCCGGATTCAGAGCTTCTGGCGTGTCTGAACAGCCTCACCTCGTGCCTGTCGTGGCCGGACCTGACTCTGCTGGATGCTGAAGCTGGTGCGGGTATGCCGTCAGGCTGGCCCGTTAAAGTTGGTGTTGTTGGTCACTCTGCACGCATGATGGGGCGTCTGGGGGCAGATATGGGAGAGCTGATTGATGGTTGCGAAGTTCCAAGAGAAGATGGTGAGGTTCCGGCATTGCGCCCAGACTTTTTGCTGGAGATGATGTCTTCAGGTTGATTTGCTGAATTGTGCCACCTACGTGTGGCCTTCATTTTCGAAGCTGAAATGTCATGTATCTAGATAAAATAAACAGAAACATGTAATGCATGTAATTTAGCATAAGTTCATATATCAACTATCATGTTATGAGCTGTAAAATATGAGTGCTGAAATGTCAATATATACGACATAGCTTCTGAAAGTTGGGGTTGTACGCGAATATAACCCTTAAGATATGACGTGTAGCTAGGACTTCAGACAGAAAGTGCCACATCAGCAGCCGACAATGCAGCTTGGTATATTTCGGTCAACCAAGATGCGCGTGACTGAACTGAACCTGGTCTCACTTTCTCGGCGTTGTGCACTTGGCTGTAGGGCCTGTGATTTGTTGCCAAGTTGGCCGGGCGGGCAGAAGTACAAAATACTGTTTCCAGAAAAACAGCTCGGATGGGCGATGAGAAGCGAAATCTATGGATAATAGCGGTACGATATTGGCCCCAGTTCAATTGCACTCATTATGTTTTGCGACTTTCTCCGCTTGATCGTCCTAGGTGGACATGTTCATGAATCTTCCCGTAGTCTCTGGCACATCCCATCCGCCACGCAGATATCTAGGTGGAGAACAGGCCTTTATTCTCCGAGCGCATCGCATTCCTCACCCCGAAGCGCAATGTCGCAATCTTCTTTTCTCAACTTGCTCTCAAAATTGAGTCCAGGGGGGTCCGCTCCTCGCCCCCATCGTTATCTCCCCTATCTTTCCGAATCTCCCCTCATCCCAGAAATGCACAAACAGAGTGGCAGCATGATTATAAAACCCTTGCTGCTCAAACCATGCACCTTTCCCGACTTCCTATCCCGTCTTCCTTACCCCTCGGTCTGATAAGCCAGGTGCGGCATCCTTTGAAACGCGTAGCTTATTCCACGGGCGAAGACCTCCTCCGTTGCCACTGAAGAAGATTCCTGCACGAGACGAACTTCAGTGAGAGATCTCCGGAACCACTCACTCGCCGATGTTGAAAGCCATTGCATTGGCCCAGGATCTTTGAAAACTTCTCGTTTGCGAGAACTCACATTTCTTTCTTTGCCACGTCTTTATTATCTCTTCCTCACCAACAAGAGATTCGTGTATTTTTCCAAACGGAGTTCCTAGCAAAGTAGTTTCCGAGTGGGTGTTGCAAGTGCGTTGCAAAGTCTTTCCCCAGGTGCTCGCTCTATTTGACTAACGGTTAGCCGCCGATGGGAAAAGACGCGAGCTGGAGGGGGGAGATCCGAATCGAGTCGTAATTCCGAGGTTACGTGGTCAATAGCACTAGAAAGCCATATGGACACCGGCAATATTAGTAGTAGTAGTAATAGGCGTAGTCGTCTTTCGAGCACCAATTCTCTTCGCCGCCGTGGCTCGACATGATGAAGCGCGGCCGACCGATTCAGCCACATAGGAGCAGCAAGGATGTGAATACCACCGTCACTAATAACGGAAACGGGATTCCCAGAAGCGGGCATCATGGGCCGCCGGATTCCTGGAGCGGAGGTTTCCCCCTTGGTCCGAGGGACCCCCTATATTTACCTCCAGGTGATTTTACTACTAATAACAGTCGGAGTCCCACTGCTGCTACCACTACGCTCAGCGGGACTCGCGCCGCTTGGAGCGGCGAGCCTCAGGCGGAACCTGGCATGTTGACGCGCAGCGGAACGAGTAACAGCGTTTCGACGGTCGCCGCGTGGGGGAGAGGCGCAGGTGGGGGCGCAGGCGGAGGCTCAGGACTCCTCGGAGGCTCAGGGGGAGGCTTTGGCGGAGACCTAGGAGGAGGCTTCGGCGCAGGCTTAGGCGGAGGCGGAGACTTAGTAGGGGGCCCAAGCGCAGGCCCAAGCGGAAGCGTAGGCGGAGGCTTCGCCGTAGGCCTACTAGGCCTAAGCGGAAGCGCCGGCGCAGGCGCAGGCCTTTCCGAGAGGGACCCGACTCGGATCAACGCGCCATCCCGGAGTGTGTTCTCGCCATTTGAATCAGCTCAGACACCCCCTACTAGTGCGCTGTTGCGGCCCTTTGCGTCGACTCAAGCGCCTCCTACTACTAGTGCGCTGCTGGGATCTCCCCGATGGTACTCCGGCGTTGGCGCCGGCGGCGGTGCCGGTGGTAGTTATAGCAGCAGCGGGAGACACGGCGACGTTCCCCCGGAGCAGTTCCTTCGATGGACCAACGAGGTGAGCGGCCGGCCGCGTTCGTTATAAGCCGCCTCGCTACCAGCAGAGCCGCCAGGCGGCAGTGTCTTCAGGCGCAGCTGTTTCACGGCCGCTTTGATCGCTGCCTTTCTCGGCTTCACATGCCGGCCAGGCTCGTTTCTGCCGGCCAGGCTCGTTTCTGTCGTCTGTTCCATTCCCACTCCTCCTTGTAGTTCGAGCCCTTTCCATTGCACGCTCGCTTGAGATGAGACGATTTTTGAGTCGACTAAAAATAAAGGCTGTCTCCCTTTTCCCTGCTGTCGTCCGTTCCCACTCCTCCTTGTAGTTCGAGCCCCTCTCATTGCACACTCGCTCCAGTGTTACCAATCCATCCCTCCCTCCCTCCACCCTCTTGAGTCGACTCAAAAGTCAAAAGTCACCTCGTTTTCAGTCGACTCAAAAGTCATGTCATGCGAGCCCCTCTCATTGCACACTCGCTCCACCGTTACCGACTCAAACCCGTTCTTATAGTCTTTCCCTTCCACCTCACCCCTTACCCCTTCCACCTTACCCCTTTTCCCTTCCACCTCACCCCCTTACCCCTTCCACCTTACCCCTTTTCCCTTCCACCTCACCCCCTTACCCTCTTCCCCTTCCACCTTCCGCCTTCCCATTTCCCTCCCCCTTTCCCCTTCCCCTAACCCCTTCCCCCTTCCCCTTTTTTCACTCCTTTTCCCCCTTCCCCTTTCCCGCTCCTTTTCCACCTTCCCCTTCCCCTTTCCTTTCCCATTTCCGCCAGGAGGACAGGGTGTTGCTGCGCCACGTCACGCGCTACGGCACGCGCAACTGGGGCCTGCTGCAGCGAAGCCGCTCGCTGCCCCTGCGCGACAACAAGGCGTGCTGCAACCGCTTCATCCTCCTCAAGAAGTGAGTTGCACCGCACTTGACCGCGCCAACCACTTTATCCTCTTGGGCAGGATTTCTATAAGCGAGTGAGTCATTATTCAAGGACAGCTTGTTTGTTTAGTTTTTTTCGGTGTGTGTGTGTGTGTGTGTGTGTGTGTGTGTGTGTGTGTGTGTGTGTGTGTGTATGTGTGTGTGTGTGTGTGTATGTGTGTGTGTGTGTGTTTTTAGGTACTTTCTGGTTATTGTTTTCTCCGTTTCCCCTGCCATCACGAATCCCTCATGTCAAGCCACGTGTCCAATGCTCCTATGTTATGCCACGTGTCCCAAGAGCAGGAGGTTTCTGGAGAAGCACAAGTCTCAAGCTACAGCTACAGCCACAGCCATGGCTACAGCTATAGCTGAACAGCTACAGGGTGGGGGGAGCGCGACACAGATACAGCTCGAGACGACTGCTGCTACAGCTGAGGTTGGAGTGAGTCAGCCAGAGCTACAGCTCCAGACGGCTGCTGCTACAGCTGAGGCTGGAGGGAGTCAGCCAGAGCTACAGCTCGAGAGTGCTAAGGTCATTGACCATGCGAGTGCTTCTCTTTCTGAAACCCTTGGTACGGCTCCTAGCAGAGCTACAGCAGCGTCGCCGGCTGTAGCATCGACAGCTGCAGCTACTGCCGCTACAGCCGTTCCGATCATGTCAGCCACAGCCGCGACGGCTGCTGCTACAGCTGCAGCACCACCACCATCACCTGCAGCAACAGCAGCAGCAGCAGCGGAAACAGAGCGCTCAGCAGCGTTGTCAGAGGAAATTATGCGAGTTGGAGAGGAGAGTAGAGGGACCAGAGAGGATAGAGGGACAAGAGAGTGGGAAGGGGAGAGATCAAGGAAAAGGGAAGGGGAGAGGGCGGCAGGAGGGGTGGGGCAGACACAAGGGGCAAGGGAAGGGGAAGTGGAAGCGGAAGGGGAAGGGGAGGGGGAAGGGGAAGCGGCGGGGCAGAGGGGGGTTGGCGGGGCGTTAGAGCAGCAGCTAGCAATGCTATTTGAGTTGGACCAAGGGTGGGAGAGAGGGGGAGAGGCTCGACCTCTGGGTTCTCCTGCTGTGGCGTTCTCTGCTCCGGCTGCTGTTGCTGGGCGGTTGAGTGGGGTGGAGAACGGTGCAGATGCTGCCAGTGATGCTGCTGCTGCTGCTGCTGCTGCTGGTGGCGTGGATGGTGGGGGGTGCAGTGAGGTGGTGGACGGTGGTGGAATGGGGGTGGGGGAAGGAGGAAGAGACGGAGATGCAGTGGGGAGAGGGGATGGAGAGAGGAAGCGGAAGGTACCTCTGGGTGGCTTTGATGGGGCCATGAGGTCATTTTCGGACCTCTATCCCTTGTTTCAGCAGCAGCAGCAGCAGCAGCAGCAGCTCCAGCAGGAGCAGTATCTGTTGCAACAGCAGCGGTATGAGCAGCAGCAACGGCATTCGGCGGGCTTGGAACCTCGTTTTCTGGAGACTGAGAGGTGGTGGGAAATGCAGCAACAGCAGCAGCAGCAGCAGCAGCAGCAGCAGCAGCAGCAGCATCAGCAGCAGCATCAGCAGCAGCATCAGCAGCAGCATCAGCAGCAGCATCAGCAGCAGCATCAGCAGCAGACGTTCAATTCCTTTGCTGAAGCAGCCCAGCTCCCAGCTGCACCCTGGACTTCCATCTCCCACGCCAGCATGTCAATGTCTCATGCCACCACGTCAACTGCCCAAGCTGCCACCACTTCCACTTCCCACGCTGCCACCTCTCTTTCGCATGCGGTGACTTTTGAGTCGACTCGAAATAATGTCTCCCAAGCCAACGTCGCCAGCATGTCAATGTCTCACGATGCCACTGCTTCGACTTCCCATGCTGCTACCTCTGTTTCTCATGCCACCATGGTGGGTGTGAGTTCCCAGCAGGTCTGTGCTGCTGCTTCTCCTACTTCTGCTGCTCCTGCTGCTTCTCTTGCTCCTCCTGCTCTTACTTCTCCTGCTGCTCCTGCTGCTTCTCCTGCACCTGCTGCTCTTCTTGCTTCTCCTGCTCATCCTGCAGCCGCTGCTCCTAAATTCGCTGCTGCTGCTTCTCCTGCTTCTCCTGCTGCTCCTGCTGCTTCTCCTGCTTCTCCTGCTGCTCCTGCTGCTTCTCCTGCTCTTGCTGCTCCTCCTGCTTCTCCTGCTACTCCTACTGCCGCTGCTGCTACCACTGCCGCTGCCGCTGCTGCTAATCCCGCGGCTGCTGCTCTCCCACAAGTGGCAAGCCCAGGAGTATACGAGTCCCTGGTTGGCGCGAGCTCACAGCAGGTAGCAGCTGCTATACTGGCCTGGGAGGGGACAGGGTCGCTTCTGGAGCAGCGCAGGAGGGAGGAGAGGCGGGTGCGGGCTCTTGAGGCACCCCAGGGGTTGACTTTTGAGTCGACTCAAAAGTCAACTTTTGAGGCGCCCGAGGGGTTGTTGGAGGGGACAGGGTCGCTTCTGGAGCAGCGCAGGAGGGAAGAGAGGCGGGTGCGGACTGTTCAGGCGGCCCAACAGTCGTTGCATGGGCCAGGGGTGGGGCTGGAACAGAGGGGGAGGGGCGAGAGGGGGGGGCGGCCTGGGTTGTGGGGTGGTGGTGGAGTGGAGGGGATGTGGAGTGGTAAGGAGAGTGGTGGGAGAGAGGGAGTGGGGGCTATGAACATTGATGATGCAGGAAGGATGCAGGAGGAAAGGGGAGGAGAGGAAAGGAGGGAGGGGACAAGGAGGGAGGAGGAAAAGAGAGATGAGGAAGGGAGAGAGGAGAATATGAGGGAGGGGAAAAGGTGGGGGGAGGAGAGGATCCAGGGGTCATGGGAATGGGATGGAATGGGTTGGGAGCAGCTGGGGAGTGGTGGGGTTGGAAGGGCGTGGACTGCACTGGATGGGGGCCATGCTTGGATAAGAACTGTCAGTGGTGCAGAGAGAAGGGCGCTGGGACAAGCGCAAGAGCAGAATCAGCAGCAGGTGCAGCAGCAGCAGCAGCAGGTTCAGGAGCTGCAGCAGGTGCAGCAGCAGCAGCAGGTGCAGCAGCAGCAGCAGCAGCAGCAGCAGCAGCAGCAGCAGGTGCAGGTGCAGCAGCAGCAGGTTCAGCAGCTGCAGCAGGTGCAGCAGCAGCAGCAGCAGCAGCAGCAGCAGCTGGTGCAGGTGCAGCAACAGCAGGTGCAGCATTATGAGACGCATCAATCTCAGGTGCCACATCAGGTGCAAAATCAGGAGCCGTATTATCAGGTGCCACATCAGGTGCAAAATCAGGAGCCGCATTACCGGGAGCCGCATCCCGCACAGCTTCATGTGCAGCAAAACATGCAATTTCAGGTGTCAGAATGTCAGCAGCAACAGGAGCAGCAGCAGCAGCAACATCACCATCACCTGCAGCAGCATCATCACCACCAGCGGCAGCAGGAGCAGCAGCAGAAGCAGCAGCAGGAACAGCAACAACGGCAACAGGAACGACAGCAACAAGTGCAACAACAGCAGCAGCAGCAGCAGCAGCAGCAGCAGCAGCAGCAGCAGCAGCAGCAGCAGCAGCAGCAGCAGCAGCAGCAGCAGAAACTACACCAACAACAACAGCAACAGCTACGAGAGCAACAGCAACAGCAACAGCAACAGCAGCAGCAGCAGCAGCAACTACATGAACAACAACAACAGCTATACCAACAGCAACATCAGCAATGGCAGCAACATCAGCAACACCAGCAGCAATATCAGCAACATCAGCAGCAATATCAGCAACATCAGCAGCAATATCAGCACCAGCATCAGCAGCAGCACCGGGCAATGCAAGCAGAGCGACCTCATGGGGCGAACATCTTAGCAGCACAACCCTTAGAAGCCCAGCACCCACTAATTAAGCCCAACCAGACTCTAGATGCAATCTTGCCGAGTCGTTTTCAAGGACCAGACAAACAACGCGAGCTTCAGACAACCCGAGTAGCATCGGCATTGGCCCTCGATAATCAGCCTCCTATTTCCCCGTCCACCCTTATTGACATCCCAATGAATGCACATTTGACAAACCATACATCTCTCTTGCGACCTAGTTACTCCTTGCCTCCATTTTCAATTGTTTCGGAATCTGCACTTTCACATATTCGTCCTCCCCCATCTACACGTCCGGCTCATACCCTGTATGGTATCGCATCCCACCCTGATCTCCACTTTAGTTCCTGCGGGCTGCTTGCCTTGCCAGAAGATGCCGCTAGCATGCTCACGACCATTTCACGCGGGAACGAATCGAATGGTATTATTGCGAGTGGCCTCGATTGGTCAACAGTCGCTCACCCATATGGTGGTGATTTGATTGAGTGGCTTGAAGACGCTGAAGGATAGGATTCTATGCCGCTTGTAAGGAAAATCAGTATATCTTGACTTGTATATATTGTTGACTCACAATTTTGTCTACCAAACTTGTTTTGTTTTCCTACGGTATATGTTTTGATGTGACGGATCACAATTTTGTCTACCAAACTTCGGGATGTCATAGAAATGAGGAATGACTACTAGCGAGGAACGGATCACAGTTGCTGATTCGTGGAAATTGATGTGACGGTGACGGCAGCGTCTAGTCCGCGTGACAATCGAGCTATGTTGTTGACCACATCTCTCCCGGGTTTCTGGAATCTGCGTTACAGCACAGCTGTCGTGTCACGTGAGCAACATTTCGCTGTCACGAAGGGACAACTGCCAACGAATGGCGTGAATTCGTCTCCCATGACCCAGCTTCAATTTATGATTGCGCACGAGAGATACTGCCCATAAGCGTCAGCAACACGGATCCAATGAGCTGGCGGCAGTTCCTCCATCACGGGAATTGAACGACAGTGGTTTGGCTGGTCAGGTCGCAGATTTTTGTATGGGCCGTTAGATGGTGCGTCACGTAAGTTATCAAAACAAGTCAGAGATACTGTATGTGGATACACTTTTCCTCGGGATGAGTCGAATTTATTTTATGGGGGTTGACTCTCTCTAACCCCGTAGCACCCTAAATAATACTGTTCCGACTGTGTTACATGTATTTTCTGTTTCCACAGAAGCAACACCCTTCTCTCAGATCCTATCCAAGTGTACCACAGGTTGTAAGATGTTAATATTTACAGTACGCTTGGGACTTTTAAAGGAAGAACAAACGATGGTGGTTGGGAATCATGACCAACGTACAGAAGCAAACCACCACGTGAGCCAGAGAACGGTACAAAGGCGTACCTCTCTATGCCATTTCTCTTGGCTAAGTACTGAATTTATGAATCCGCAGACACCACACAGACGTTGACCGTTTCGGAACCAAACCAACTCTGAATCCTGACGAGAACCATCCATCCATCCGCTCCGCACGCTCCGACAGGCCATCACTGCTGATGCAAGCTCCACCTTTCTCCGTCGTTGCTGCGGACAAGTTCCACACTTCCACCTGTCAACTCATATTGCTGAGTTGAAAGATTGGTCCTTCCAACACAGATCCGCCAGCAGCTGTTGTATAATTCTACGTACAGCAGCCAGACTGTACAGGACAACAGCCAAATTCGGTCCACTAAAACTGCATTTCTGAATGCCTCTTGTGTAAAACATGGTCATAGGTGCATTCGACTGACACACAAGCACGCACCAGGAGCCAATGGCGTAACTTTCAAGCAATGGAACGAACGCCGTGAATGGCAGGCAGCGGACCTTTCTGTACAGCACAGCATGGGAAAGTCTGCCTCTCTGCCAAGCGTCAAGCCAGAGCCTCCATGACATTGGTGCGGAACAATAAATGCTTCCCGCTCGACTTCACCGACGCAAAGAAAACGCGAAGCGCTTTTGCTAAAAAAAGCCGCGATTTCGGGTGTAGATTCGTACGGCAAGCAGCTGTTTCTCCCTGCAGCAGCCGAGCTGCCGAGCTGATGATGGGTTGACCGTGACGCAACGCAACTCGTTCCCACTCCGAGCCGCCACGTAGCTCAACTTGGTTTTCCAAAAGCACGCCCGGAGAAGCATTACTACATCATCGATTCATCGTCCAGTTCCAAAAAAATGCCGTCGTCGACTTCCAAAGCTAGTTCAAAAAGCAAGTCGCAGCAGCCCCTGCTATTTCGACCCCTGAATTTCGAGGCCTAGGCTCAGCGTCTTCGAAGTCCTCCCCGTCGAGTATGAGAGTCATGCTTGAAGAAACACGTCGGAATTCCGTCCATGCCAGTGCTAGAACGAATGTATACAGCAGCCTCGTTGCTCGAAAAAAAGCCGCTCTTTCTCTTGATTATCACAAGAAGCCTCCGTTATCGCTTTCTTACTCCCAGTGCTACAGCCTACTACCACTAGTTTATAACCGCCTGTATGAGCACCCTGGTGTTGCGCTCACTGCCAATTCTTGAGCGAGTCGCTCGCAGAGTTTGTTCTCATCAGCTTGCGGGCTGATGATTTCTAGAACCTCTCAGGCCGCTCAAAACTCAAATTCCCGAGGCTCTTATCCGAGGCTCTGCACCCGAAGCACTGCACCCGAGGCTCTGTTCCGCACTGCACTCGAGGCTCTGCACCTGAGCGCTGCACAATTCACTCCCCACACAATTCTCGCCTTTACCATGGAGACGCTTGAACCGCCGCAATTCACATGCCTAGTGTGCGGAGCCCGCTTCCGCTCGCTGCAGGCGCTCGGCGGACACAAATCCGCGCACAACGGGGGGAATAGTTCCGCCGCCGGGGGCAATAGGGGCGGCGGTAAGGGGGGAAGCGGACGAAGCTCCGCTCCGCGTGCCCCTAGTCGGTGGTTTCCGCCAGGAGGCAGCGGCGGAATGCTGCTACAAACACCAGGAGAAGGCGGAACTACTAATTACGCCAGAAGGAGTAACGATTCTTTTCAAGACTACTACTATGTGAAACTCCAAGAGGAAGCTTGCACGCCTGGCAGTACTAGTAGTAAACGTGTCAGAGATGCTTTCTCAGCTCCTGCCGCTGCCGCAACTGCCCCCGCCGCACCTACCGATGCCGCTGCTGCTGCCGCTTCCACTGCTGCTGCTGCTGTTGGTTCTGCTGGAGGAGCGGCATTTGTTATAAGCTCGAAATGGGGCACTGTGCGTCAGCGAGTGCAGCAGCACCCTTATAACGAGAGCACTGCTGCAGCTGCTGCTTGTGCTGCTACCAGTGCTGCTGCTACTGCTGCTGGTGCTCGTTCCACTGCCACTGCTACTACCGCTGTTCGTGGGCCGCTAATGCTGGGCGAACCATACAGTGCAGCAGAGAACCAGCTTCGCTGGCTTTCACGCCTCTTTTCATCCCAACCGCCACCAACAGTGGACGCCTCTCCCTCTCCCGCCTCGTTACAGTCACCTGCTGACGCATACAGAGCACCTGCTGACGTGTTCAGAACACCTGCTGACGCATGTCATCCATCTGCCAGCTCAGCATGGAGGGGATCGTGGGGCGGAGCAGAGAAGGCGCGCGGCATGCCACCCAGCGCCACGTGCACGTATCAGTCAAGGCTGCTACAGCATGCCACGTGGCAGGACAGTCCCTTGACTCCCTCTCACCCCTCCCAGTTGCCCCCGCAATCACCTCACGACCTCTCTTTTCGTTCTTCTAACGGCCTGGACATGCCTGAAAGGCGCATGCCCTCTCTCCAGCAATGTGACAAGAGGGTGGAGGGAAACGCAACAGCAGCAGCAGCAGCAGCAGCAGGAGAAGGAGCAGCAGGAGCAGCAGCAACACCAACTGCAGCAGCAGCAATGGCAGAAGCATCGTCAACTGCAACAGCAGCAGCAGCAGCAGCAGCAGCAACGGCACCCCCATGGATGAGACTGTGGCTGCTGCAGCAACAAGCCCTCTCCGCCCTAGCTGCTACCCCTCCCTTCCCATCCGCCCCACCGTTCGCCCACACCCCTGCCAACTCGGTCAAAATAGCACCCATTCTAGTGCCGACTAAAAAAACTGGAATTTCCAACCAAGCTTCTGTCCACCCATTCCCTTCTGCTCCACCATTTGTTGGTAACTCTGCTGACCCAGTCAAGATGATGACTTTCCAGCCTGCAGCCAATCAGCTCACTCTGCGCCCTTTTCCACGTCCACGTCAGCAGACGCTGGAGACGCCTACGTGGCCGCTGGATGCACCTTCCTGGATGCTTCGTGATCGAAAGCCAGCGAGGACACGCTCATGCACGGTCGACGAGTCGGCTGGCGGTGCGGCTGGTAGCCAATCTGCAGCTGCCACGTGGCATGGGATGGAGGACAGACGGATTGGAGCAGGGGAATGGAGCAGTAGTGGTGGCGGTGGTGGTGGCGATGGTGGGGATGGATTGAGGGAGGGAGAACGGAGAGATGCGGCGAATGCAGAGCACAAGGAGGATCAGCTGAGCGGGCTCATGCGGGAGATGGAGGAGAGGAGGAGTAGCGAGTGTCTGCGGGAGGAGGAGGAGGAGGAGAGGAGGAGGAGGATCGGCAGCGCTTCTACGAGCCAGTCTGTGCCGTCTTCGAGGAGTCTCGAGGCATGGATGGAGGCAATGGGGATGAGACAAGCCGCTACTCGGCAGGCTGCTTCCTATGCTCAGGTGGCCCAGAGTGCCCCCCCTGCACACCCTGCTGCTGCAGGTGCTGCTGCCGCTGCTGCTCCTGCTCCTCCTGCTGCTACTGCCGCTGCTGCTGCCGCTGCTAACTCTGCTGCTAATGCCGTTGCTCAGGCTGATATCCCGTCGGGAGGAAAGGCCAAGGGGGGAGGAGAGACTGGGCAGTGGGAGAAGAATGCGGAGGTGGGCGGTGATCATGGGGGTGCTGCTGCTGCTGAAACGCTGCTGGTATCAAGAGAGAGAGGAAAGTGGGGCTTCAATGGAGGAGACAGGAGTGGGAAGAGTCTGATTCGACTAAAAAACCATCTACTGCTACTGGGATTAGAGGAAAGGGGTGCACTTGTAGGAGTGGCGGAGACGGGATTGATCGGGCGAGACGAGAGTGGTGGTGATGGTAATGTGGCGGCTTCCAGTGGTGGTGGCGGCGGCGGCGGCGGCGGCGGCAGCAGCAGCGGTGGTGGTGGCTGCGATGTGGCCAGACATGGTTGCAGCAGGGAAGGCCTGTTGACTCTGGAGCAGCAGATTCAGGAGATGTTGGACGATCTGCCTTCTGCTCCACCTCCTGACCGTAACCACACGCTGCCTTCTCCTCCTCCTCCTCCTCCTCCTCCTCCTCCTCCTCCTCCTCCTCCTCCTCCTCCTCCTCCTCCTCCTCCTCCTCCTCCTCCTCCTCC